TATATATATAAGGTGTCCGACAAGTAAGTTACCAAATGAAAGGTGCAGGTAGATTGGGTCAAACTGAAAAGAAAAGTCCTGTACCATTGTAACAGGCCGCTTTCGTGAGTTCGGATATGCTCGGTCAGGATTAGGGCTCGTGAAAAGGTGAGACACAATGATAAACGCGGGATGTAATGTAGTCTGTTTATATGCCTCCTTCGGCAATGGGCAATTTACAGATCGTGTGAACGGTAGTTTAAATTCCGCGAAGCGGGCGCGCGGCGGATGATAAGATGCGAGTTATAATAAAAGTGCAATAGTTATTCGGCGCGCTATAATAAATGCGCGAGAGTTATTCGGCGCGTTATAATCAATGTATCGATATCGTATCGTGATACGGATTTCGTCGACGCACGGCAAGGCCGTGTTTGTTGTGACGGCACGCGAGACGCGCAAGAAACAGGACGGGGGCTAGTCGGCGCGTGTACGGCCATGTTTATTTTGCCGGGCGCTGAATATAATATATCTATATATTTCGGCGCGACAGGTATTTTGGCGCAGCGATTAATTTGTGCGGACGACAGAGCCGTGGATTCTTAATGCGTCGGTGTTAGATGCGCTTTAGTCGCGTATTCCCAGATGTGCGGGGAGGCGGTCGGAAATCGAGTACTCTCCATCGGGTGGAGGACTCTCCACCCCTATCCCGCACGCGGACTTAAGGATAGCTGGTCGGAGTCGAGAAATCTCGACGGGGCAGCGAACTCGCAAGCCCACGGTCCGTCTGGCTGGAGCGGTCGGGTGTTAGACCGGAGATCTACGAGAGCGGCGAACACTCCACTCTCGTCGAGTCGGTCGAAGGTTGGCGAGGATTCGGAGACGGCGCTGAAACCGAGAATGTTCGGCGGAGGCTGCGAACTCATCAACCCCACGTTCCGTCGTTTCTGCGGAGTATAAAAGATCGGATATATCGGAATATCTCGAGCGTACTGCTCGAGAGGCTTCAGGTACCGGTCTGGTGTCGAGATGGATTTCGGCGACCTTTTTATACCGAGAATCTAACGGTAATCGCGTCGTTTCTTTCTGATGGGGGTAACGACGCGTTGTTTTCGAGTACGGTAATTAGCGGTTAACGCGCCGCTACCCTTCGGCGGAAAAACGACGCGGCGTTTCGTCGGTTGAGCGCTCGATGCTTTCCGGAAGCGCTCGGCGGTTCTCGGTAGCGGTTCGGGCCGTAACGGCAGCCGTATAACGGCTGTACGGTGCTCTTAGATACATCTCGTAACGAGTATTAAAAAGGGCGCTAAGCGCCTCTGCCCCTGCCCGGCTGGTATTCGCCGGGCGGCAGACTTCCGGCTAGTCAACTGCCGAGTAACGATGGGCGACGGCGATCCCTCGCGCCGCTTCTAGCGCGCGATCCGCTATCGCGATTCTTTAGGGACGCGCGTCGCTTCTAGCGCGCGATCTGTGAGCGGACGCCGGATATCCGGCGTCGAGGAAGATGGAGGATTGTCGGAGGGCGATCGAACGGAGAGAGGAATGGTTAGCGGCGATACGAGCGCGCTTATCGCATTTCGGGGCGAGTTTTTTTTCGTTTTCCGGCGATACGAGCGCGCTTATCGCGTTTCGGGGCGAGTTTTTTTTCGTTTCCTGGCGACGACGCGCGTCCGGTGACGAGACGCGTCCGAGAGCGAGTATCCGGCTCGGTTAATCGGGGCGCGTCCTCGCTATTTTTCCCCGTTATAAAAGGATGCCGCGACGATCTCGAGGTATTAGTACGTTCGAGAATATTCGCGGCGCGATAAAGCGCGTACCGAGCGCTATATCGAGATTAGCCGGAATAGTGGTAAATATTCGAATTAGGATATACAGAATTTGGAAATACCGAATTGTTTGAAGAAGGAACTACGCGAATGTTATATAGAGGACTGTCTGTACTGTAAAGAAAAGATCGGCTTCGCGGAAGAGTTCGTGCGAGAGGAAAGCGAGGCGCGATTCGACGAGCCTTTCTCGAATGTCGGAGCCGATGGCTATCTGCTTTATCGCAATTGGAAACGGCGATACGGAATTCCGAGATTTTCGTGGGAGGTGAATCACGTCGTGCATTGCTTCTACACGTTCGATTGCCGATTCGAGAACGGAAATTATTTCAAGGAGGACGAGAGATATTGCGTGGATTGCGCGCATAGATCGAGTTTTGTAAGAAGCGTATCGACGCATATGAAAAAATCGGTGTATAGCGAGAGAGAGCGATTAATTCTCTGATTACTCGAACCGTTCGATTAACGGGCGCGAGAGACGATCTGCGTCGGCGTTTCGAACGCGTGGGAGGCGGCGTAGAGAGGCGCGAGGGATTCTCGTGGTTCGAGATGGAGACAGCTTTCTCTAGACGCATTTTAACCGGCGCGGTTATCAATTTCGATTATATCGAACCTTTGCGATTTCTCGAGGACGCTAGAGATGCCGTGCTCGATCGAGTACGCGATGTTATAGATGGATATAACAGTGTCAAGGTCAATACCGTGTTCATCGGTGAGTTCGTCTCGGGCGACAAGATTGATGTTAAGACTATCGCCACGAAGAATTATCCGCTTCTACCTTTTTCCGACTTGCGAGAGTGATACGGGAAGCGTGTGGTACGCTATTCTAGCTTCGCTGGAGGAGTTTCAAGAGCGTGATAGCGGATGGGCGTTATCGCGAATACTAAATTTAACGGTGAACGTAAACAGATACAATCCTATGCACGCTGGATGCCGCGTCGAGATACCGCGAGAGATCGTATTGAAGAAAGTGGTGATTAACGTGCGATCTACGGATAACGCGTGTTTCGCGTGGGCGTTAGTCGCCGCTTTATATCCGGTCGAGAAACACACGGAAAGAAGCTCGTGGTATCCTCACTACTCGACGGTATTGAATCTGGAGGGTGTCGAGTTTCCCATGAGTTTAAATGGAATTACTAGATTCGAGCGTATTAATGACATATCCATTAACGTATATACCGTTCGGGATAAGAAGAACGAGAAAGGTAGCTGCCGTATCGTTCCTTTGCGTCTCACTGGTAATAAGAAGAACACACACGTTAATCTGCTGTATCTGAGCGATACGACGCAACGAGATAATACGGCGTATTTCGCACGGATTAAAAATTTGTCCCGACTCATCAGCTCGCAACTGAGCAATAGGCAACATAAAGCGCATATATGCGATCAGTGAGTACGAATTAAAAAAATTTGTCGCGTAATGTGGATAATATACGCGATTTAAAAATGTGTTTTATGTCGCAGATGCATGCATTATTTTCGAACGAGCGATAAATTATCGGCTCACAGTGTGGAAGGATGAACGAGTGCGCCATAGTCCTTTCTACTAAAGACGACAAATGGTTAGAGTTTCGCAATTACTGTAGAAAAGAGAGACTTCCGTTCGTGGTGTACGCCGATCTCGAATGCGTGCTGGAGAAGAAAGAATTATCGACTCACAGCGCGGACTGTGGAAGGATGAACGAGTGCGCCATAGTCCTTCCTACTAAAGACGACAAATGGTTAGAGTTTCGCAATTACTGTAGAAAGGAGAGAATTCCGTTCGTGGTGTACGCCGATCTCGAATGCGTGCTGGAGAAGAAAGAGGAGAAGAGAACGTTGAACACGTATATCGTTCAGCATCACAAAGTCTATAGTGCTGGATATTACGCGCGATGCGCGTTCGACGGTGCTGGCTCGACTTACAAAGCCTATCGTGGCGAGGATTGCGTATCGTGGTTCATTAAAGAACTGTACGATCTAGCGCTTCGCGCGAAGACTATTCTCGACACCGATGCGCCTATGACGGATCTTACACCGGACGAATGGGAGAGATTCATGAGCGCACTGTCGCGTATGCGAGAGACCGTTTGAATCAGCGGCGAGGATTGCGTATCGTGGTTCGTTAAAGAACTGTACGATCTAGCGCTTCGCGCGAAAACTATTCTCGACACCAATGCGCCTATGACGGATTTTACACCGGACGAATGGGAGAGATTAATGAGCGCGACGCACTGTCGCGTATGCGAGAAACCGTTTGAATCGGAAGACGCTCGTGTGCACGATCACTGTCATCTAACCGGACGGTATAGAGATCCGGCGCATTCGAATTGTAATTTAAATTATAAGGAGACTTACGTAATTCCCGTATTCTTTCACAATTTATCGGGCTATGACGCGCGTTTTATCATTAAAGATGTGGCTAACGCCTTTCCCGGCAGCGTCGAACTGTTGCCGCTAACGAAGGAAACGTACATCTCTTTCGCGAAGAACGTCGAGGATGCGTCGAACGAGGGATGGTTCGGGAAACGCCTGAAATTTCGCTTCGTGGATTCTTTCAAGTTTCTAAGCGCGAGTCTCGAAAAATTGGCGTCGTATCTCGACAAGAGCGAGCTGAGGATCGCGCGTTCGGAATTTTCCGATCTCGACGACGCTGATTTCGAGCTCCTCGCGCGAAAAGGCGTGTTTCCGTATGAGTACGTCGATGACGTTGATAAATTACTGGAGACTCGTCTACCGCCGCGCGAGGCTTTCCACAGTTCGCTGACCGGTGACGTGATATCCGAGAGCGATTACGCGCGCGCGATAAGAGTCTGGGAGCGGTTTCGCGTCGAGACGTTGGGCGACTATAGCGATTTGTATTTAAAAACCGACGTTCTTTTATTGGCCGATGTATTCGAAAATTTTCGCGATGCGTGTATGAGAAGTTATAATTTAGATCCCACGTACTATTACATGTTACTTGGATATACGTGGGACGCTATGTTAAAGCATACGGGTATTCGATTCGAGTTATTAACCGACATCGATATGGTGATGTTCGTGGAACGCGGCGGGCTAAGTCGATGTTCCAATAAATACGCGCGCGCTAATAACAAGTATTTACAGACTTACGATCCTTCGGAATCGTCGGCTTATCTCATGTATTTCGATATAAATAATTTATACGGATGGGCGATGAGTCAATCGTTACCTTACGAAGATTTTCGATGGGTCGACGACGTCGCGAGCGTCGACTTGATATCCGTGACATCGAACTCGCCTATCGGTTACATTCTAGAGGTCGACCTTGCGTATCCGTCCAACCTTCACGATTCTCACGCGGACTTGCCGTTCTGCCCGACGCGCGATAAGCCACCCGGAAAACGTGACGAGAAACTTCTCGCCACGCTATACGATATGAGTCGTTACATGACGTATTATCGCAATTTGCAGCAATGCGTTCGACACGGATTACGCGTTATGAGGATACACAGAATATTACAATTCGCGCAATCCCCATGGCTGCGCGGATACATCGAACTGAACACGCGACTACGAATTAACGCGAAAAACGAGTTCGAGAAAAATCTTTACAAATTGATGAATAACGCCGTGTTCGGTAAGACTATGGAGAATGTGCGCAATCACTCGGATGTCCGACTCGTGACTCGATGGGACGGGCGATACGGCGCGGAGGCGATGATCGCGAAGCCGAACTTTCACAG